TGCTAAGACTTTTATTGCTTTGTAGGTGACTTTTTTTTTTTTTTGGTGCATCGTTCCAGGAGGTATTGCAATACCAGGTCGATGCGTGGAGTGGACACAACAAGCTCCTATTCCATCTCCCTATTCCAAAAATATACTTAATATAATGTCCTCAGATAGAGGATGTATCAGATATTAAACTGATAAGAACAGATACTACACTTGATCTTAGCCAAAAGGCCGAGAGGTGATAAAGGTAATCATTGCTGCTATTGAAATGGGCAAAAACAAAGAGAAAACAGTTGCTTGCTCAGAAAAATTACCACTACTTCTAAAATACGGTTTGGCTCAGTGGATAGAGCGTCAGCCTGCGGACTGAAGGGTCCCAGGTTCGATTCTGTTCAAGCGCACAGACCTCAGTTGGAGACTCCTCCCAGGCCTGAGCCCTGCTTGGGGCACCTGCAGGAGACAACCAATTGATCCAACTGATGTGTTTCTCTCACATCAATGTTTCTCTCTGTCTTTCCCTCTCTCTTCCACTCCGAAAAATGAAAAATACAGGAGAGAGATGATGGTGACATGGATCAAGGTGTCCCAATAGAATTCAGGGGAAGTGGTCAGATTTGACTGTAGAGCTGTGATTGGTTGTAAATTGTGAAAGAGGAATCAAAGATGACACTGAGCCACTGGAAGCATTAACTGAGATGAGTAATATTGCAGGAGAAATAGATTTTCTGTGGAAGACCAGAAATTCTATTTTGGACATGATAAATTTAAGATGCCTCTACTTAAAGTTGTGCAAACAGCCAAGTGGAGATACGAATGGCAATTAGATATGTATCTGCAGTTCAGGGCAACTGTACAAAAAACTACAAATTTACATGGGAAAAAGATGAAATAAATGAGCCAAGGATATAAACTGGGAATTCTATAGGAAAAGAAGTGCAAATGAGGCATACAATACTTGAATTAAAAAAATAACTACAAATGGCCAATAGAAAAGGAACTCCATTGGTAGTCAGAATGCAATTTCCTGAAAAAATGAGGACATTTTTCACCCCTCAGATTTGCAAAAATATTAGATTTAAATCTATTGCTGGTAAGGTGTGAAGAAAGTACATTCACACATTGCTAATGATAGTGTGAACTCTACATCCTTCTTCGGAACTATTCTGGTAATATCGAAATTTTAAAATGCGGTAAGTCCTTAGCAAAGTAATCCTACTGGAAATCTAGCCTACAGAGAACTCATCAATAAAGGTATTGGTATAAGTTTATTTATTATAGCATTTTGTAGTAGTAGCAAATGTGCATTAATAAGAGAATTTTACCCTGACTGGTTTGGCTCAGTGGATAGAGCGTCAGCCTAGGGACTGAAGGATCCCAGATTCGATTCCGGTCAAGGGTATGTACCTTGGTTGCAGGCACATCCCCAGTGGGGGGTGTGCAGGAGGCAGCTGATTTATGTTTCTCTCTCATCGATGTTTCTAACTCTCTATCCCTCTCCCTTCCTCTCTGTAAAAAACCAATAAAATATATTTTTAAAAAATAGTTCTTATTTTACTAGATTTATAAATAGAACAATGAAATTTGTAATTTAAAGGTTTACAGAACACCAGGCTTTAATTAACTTCAAAACATTGGGTCATAATTATATCAGTTTCTTGTGGCTGCTATAACAAATTTACCACAAATTTATTTTTTTGTTAATCTTCACCTGAGGATATTGCATTTAGTGCCTATCCAGGTAACCCAGGGTAATTTCATCTCAAAATATTTAATCACATCTGCAAAGACCCTTTTTCCATATAAGGTAAGATTGACAGCTCCAAGGATTAGGACTTGATAATTCTGGGGCTATTATCAGCCTATCACAGTAATCTTTTTAAAAAAGCAATTGAGCCCTAACTGGTTTGGCTCAATGGAGCATCGGCCTGCGGACTCAAGGGTCCCAGGTTCAATTCTAGTCAAGGGCATGTACCTTGGTTGCAGGCACATACCCAGTAGGGAGTGTGCAGGAGGCAGCTGATGGATGTTTCTCTCTCATCGATGTTTCTAACTCTCTATTCCTCTTCCTTCCTCTCTGTAAGAAATCAATATTTTTAAAAAAAGGAATTGGCCTGACCCAATTGTGGCTCAGTGGTTGAGCGTTGACCAATGTTCTATTCGTGGTCAGGGCATATGCCGGGGTTTCGGACTCCATCCCCAGTAGGGGGCGTGCAGGAGGCAGCCGATCAATGATCCTCTCTCATCATTGATGTTTCTATCTCTCTCTCCCTATCCATTTCCTCTCTGAAATCAATAAAAATATACTTTAAAAATAAATAAAGCAATTGCTAATACCAGTAGTCTTTTCAGTGCACTGATACCATTAATGTACATCATAAACATGATGACAGCATTCTTTCCTGCTCAAATTGACAGAGGTATTATTAGAGGATCAGACCCAGGGAATTCAGAGCACTTTTCTGTTTGTGGGAGTATGGGGATCGAACCTGCAACCCAGGTACATGCCCTTGACTGGCAATGAAACCCAAGACCGTTCCAATGCTCTAACCACTGAGACCACTGGCCAGAGAGCACACAGTTGTTTTTTTTTTTAATTCATTTTATTTTTTCTTTATTTTTAAAAATATATGCATTTTCTTTTTACCGACCCATACAGTTTCTGATTCAGTACGTCTGGAGTGAAAGCCCCAGAATTTGCATCCCAAACATTTCCAGGTGACGCGCAGGCTGCTGATCCAGGGACCACAAGGGTGCCCTCTCGAGAGCACTAGTAGAGGAAACAGCCAACAGGGATCCTGGAGAAGGGGCTCTGCGGTTGCTCTGAAGGGGACTCCAATCAGGCCCCTCTGCCAGAACTCAGCTGCAGACAACAGAAGGTTCTTTCAGGGTTTACCGCTCTACAAACCCACAACGTGGAATCCCAGGCAGAACTGAGAACAGAACGCCAGAAAGGGGGAGCTCAGGGTCCCTGAGACATGAAGACAACGAGGCGGGGGCCACCGAGAAAGCAGCTGTGGTGGAGAGATGATCAAGGGCAGCTGAGAGAACAGGCGGCAAAGGAATTGTCTGGGTTCCCTAAATGCAGTGCAAAACTGCTTAGTTTATACACCAGTTGTGGCAGCTCCTGGCTGAACAATTTTTACTTTAATGGCTATGAGTGTTCTTTTTCTAGCAAACTTCTGTTTATGACAAATGAATCTCGCTTTCCATACTTGACAATGAGAACTAATATAGTGGGTAAGAGCATGGACTTGGAGCCAGACCACCTGGGTCATGTTATGTGTGTCTTAGGGCAAGTTCCACAACCACCTCTGTCCTGCAGTTTCCTCATCGGTAACATGGGATAATAACAGAACCTACTTTGTAGTATTGTCATGAGGATTAAATTAATTACTGCATGGAAAGTGCTTAAAACAGAGCCTGGCACTTAATAATCACAATATAGGTACAGTGTTAGCAAATATGATTACAATTTCCTTTTTAAGAAAGTTTAAAAATGAATCAATGTAAAGAAAAGTATTTGGTGAATGATAGTACAGATGGTTTGTGGACATGGCAGAAGCTGAGAGGTAACACAAAAATGTCTGAATTTGGTAAAAATTTTCAAACTGTGCTTTCCAGAGTCCCAGGATAGTCCACATCTGCTTTACAGATGGGGCTTCAAGATGCATGGACAGTGTTCTGTGATTAAAAACAAAGTTTGTAAACTATACAGCTAAGAGTTTAGAAGAAAGAAAAGCTAATGGGGATGGTGATTTTTAAGGGTTGAAACACAGTAGAGCAGTGGTTCTCAACCTGTGGGTCGCGACCCCTTTGGCGGTTGAACGACCCTTTCACAGGGGTTGCCTAAGACCATCCTGCAGATCAGATATTTACATGACGATTCATAACAGTAGCAACATGACAGTTATGAAGTAGCAACGAGAATAATTTTATGGTTGAGTCACAACATGAGGAACTGTATGTAAAGGGCCAGAAGGTTGAGAACCACTGCAGCAGAGGCTGGTGAACAGTTTAGCCATAAAAGGGTTAAATCCAGCCTTACTTCCAGCAGGAAGGTGAGTGGAGGCTAGGGGTTGGCTGTGGGCAGAGTCCAAGAGGAGTTCATGCAATGAGGCGGACATGGAAAGACAGCCTGGGCCCCAGGATTAAAAGAATTTGGTTCCCCAAGAAACAAGGGGAGCTGGAAAGCAAGCAGAGAGGTTAGGCAAGAAAGGGCAGGGTCCAAGGGCTGGGGCTAGCGGCACAGCCAGCCGCCTTCAGGGAGAACCAGGCAGGGCCTGGGAAGGGGAGCAGAGCCAGGCACATCTCGGCTGAGGCCAGCTAAATGCGAAACCACCCATCTGGTTCCCCGCAGGCAGCGTCAAGGGCAAAGTCTGTACTCCGGCAGCCCACGTGTCAGGAGAGCAGTTTTGTCATGGATGAGCAAGCCTGACGCAGTCCAGTGCGGGTCGGGGTGGGCAGCAAAGCAGATGGATGAGTGGGGAGGACCAGCATCCCTGGCCCCCCGCCCCCACACCCTTGGATATCGGCCACCTCTGTGAGACGGGAGCTTGACTAGGGCTGCCTCCAGCACCCCGTTTGGTTTCAGAATCACAGCCACTGCTCCTTTAACTTACCAGGTGCCAGACCCTGTGCTAAGCACTTATTAGATTAATTTAGAGTCTTCCTCTTGTGAGTAAAGAAATTGATTCAAGACAGATTACTTTTTTAAAGGGGGGACGCATTGGGAGGATGCAGGAGTATCCCTTGACCCCCAGGTCCGGAGCTGGCTGTCCACACTGGGTTCCACGGGCCACAGTGAGGGGAGGGAGACAAGGCACAAACAGCAATATGACTGTGTGGTCCTTCACTGTGATCCTGAGGAGGATGGGGCCCTCAGGAGGCCTGTGGATTTAAATCCAGTTTTGTTTGGCTCCAAAACCCAAGAGCTGGCTCTCGAAGGGGAGGGCAGGGGCAGAGGGACTGTGTTCACCACGCCCATGGGACCTGGGGACACGGACAACACAGAGTTCCATATGAAGAGAAAAACTTTACTTTGCCAAGGGAGCGTCCCAGCAACCCCTGCACACCCCGTACCCCTGTTCCTGGACTAGGCAAGCAGGGCCCCCCCATCCCCTGGAGGAGGGTGGTGGACCTGAGACTGAGGCGCAGGCCTTGCTCAGAGGTGGGCAGGGGGCTGGGGTGGCTGTGGCGGTTCCTTTCGTCCCTTGCCAGCAATGGGCCGGCCTCGCTCCTCCCAGATGGTGAGGCCGTCGCAGGCGCAGATCTGCTTGGGGTTCTGGAAAAGGCCAGCGGAGCGTGCGATGATGCCACAGGCCAACCTGCAGAAGAACGTGTGGTCAAGAGTGGGCACTTGTCTGGGCCGCTTGTGGGGTCCGCAGGCACGGCTGGCAGAGCACAGCCTCCTGCCGGGGGCGGCATTACCCACCTCTCTCCTGAGTTCCCCGTGATCTTGGATAAGGGATGGCCGCCCCGGCCCAGGTCATCTTCTCCCTCATCAATGACCAGGCTTCGGCCAATCACATCCCATACCTTTGAGGGGAGACAACAAATGGCCTCAGACAGTGTACCCACCTGTGAGGAAAGGTCCCCCCTTTCTTTTCCAGCTTACCTTCAGCTGCTCATCCTCTATCCTGAAGATGGCTTGGCCATCAGCATCAGCGTGGACATTCCCCAGGTCTCCCCGGTGCTGCAACGAGACCCAGGGGGAAAGAGCACGTGGAGCACAGCTGCTAGGTTCTGGCTGCCCAGCCTCTGACTCCCCAAAAGTACCAGAGTCCCCCTGTGGGTACAGTCGGGTAGGATAAAGAGATGGCCCAGGACACAAGGAAGTCAACTGGACGCTCCCTCCCTGGAACCGAAATCCTGGGCAGGATGAGAGCACCCTGAAAACAGCCAGTGACCCCTTCCTGGGAAGCCATGACCACTGGACCAAGCTGTTTCTCCCACGAGGCCGTTGCCAGCCTTGCCTCCTGGCCTCAGAGCTAACCCAGTTCCTACTTCTTCCCAAGCCCAGTTCTCTAGCCTCCTGATGACTCTGAGCCCTTGACAATCAACCTGCAGTTCCTCTGGGCTTAAGCTAGCCACGCTTGGCTTCTTGACCCTTAGAGGCAGCCAGCATCCTTTCCCTGACGGCCAGCCTCCGAGAACAGAGAGAAGGAACACAGGGGCCAAGGCCTGTCCAGGCTCTCCCCAGAAGCTGGCTCTGCCCTGGAAGGTAACAAAAATGTAACACATCTACTGAGCATCTCCTAGATCAGTGTGGACGAAAGGGGCCACATGCTGACCTGACAAGCTCAGGGGAGGCCTGCATGGTGGTCTTGCAAACTCAGAAATCTAAAGTAACCACAACTGATGGTCTGAAATTAAACTTTAAAAGTAGTTATGGTGGGGAGTTACATCCTAGGCCAGTATCTTCACTGACAAGGTCAACCTTTACCTTAACTGAGCCTATCTGTCTTTTTGCACCTATGTTACAATAACATTGC